GGTACTGATGATGCCGATGCACTGAACGCGAAGGACGTCGAAGGAGTCGCTGCAACATTAATTCGATTGTTTTAACAATTGCCAAGCGTCTAAATCAAGAATAATGAGGAATGACATTTCTTTCTATTTACCCCTCCCCCTTCCCTCCCAAATCCCCTTCTTTTTCTCAATTTTTCTACTACTTCTAGTATTGATCATATATTTTTTCAGTACCATTAGCATGGGTTAATACAAGCACAAACGCTAACAAACAAAACACATACACACACACACACATACACACAACTTCTCTTAATCAACTCTTTTATTTCACGTGCCAGGAAGTGCGACCTGAGCAACCCATCATACTAAAAAAAAAATGGCAACAACACACACAACGTGGGAGCAAGCGGCCTGTATTCTTTTGCCTTCAGTACTGCACACAAATCAATGACGGATTTTTTCTGACGGATTTTTTCCCCTGCCGCATAACTAACCTTTCTTGGGCTTCACAATTCTAACAGTAAGTGTGAGCAAGCCAATCCAGCGTGAGCACCTGCATGGATATCGTGACCTCCTCTCAATGCTTCTGTCCCGACACTTTCGAGCACTGCCAAAAACCAGCCAAATGGTCATTCAAGAACCACAGAGAATGTTATTGAATTATTACTGTTATTATTGCGACATGCTAAAACTCAGAATGAATTTGATGCCCGCTTCCTAGCAGCTTCACAGAAGCAAAACATACTGTTCAGCACAGATGGCTGTGCAATAACACTCTGTTGTGACGGCGACAATCGCTTGTTGCTCGATGGTATTGGGATATTTTCCAAACAAATGACTTCTGGCTGTGTCAGCGGTGGCCCCACTGGAAGAGGTATTGATGCAGTAACAGAATCAGTTTCTTTGCCATATGAAGTAGTCGGCGTTCCCCAGCGTGACGGACGCTTTTTGCGCCTCTCAACGCTTTCTGCGCCAATCACTACAGAAGCGGTGCCGTTTGCAGAGTGCTGCATCGAAATACTTTCATCTGAATCCTGCAAATCATCAACCTTCCAATCATGGTGCACGGAAGTTTCGTGAAGATCGCGAACAGAAAACGTAGCGCGCACGCCGTCACTAAGTGTATAACGAGGAATCATTCGCAGTAACGTTGTAAAACACAGAAACACAGACCACGCCCGATCGCCTAAACACAGAGCGCTGCTTCGGTAACAGTTCCTCCTGTGCGGAAACGCCTGTAGAATAGACAACGGAAGTTCGGATGTGTAGCCAACTGAACATGATAAACGATTAGACTGAGTGACTGCCCTCTCGCACAAATCCAAGCTAATCCTGCTGGTGCCGCTAGCTAAGCAACTGAGCTTTTAACAGTTCTTAGGCTCCAATTTTCAAACAAGAGAAATCGACCGCTACGCAAGCAGTTCCTCAAGATGTCAGTGTGTGTCAAACGCTTATGCAAGTCCCATTACTGCAGTGCCTTTGAAGGGGTCCCGCTACTGGATACATTCGGGGAACCTGGGATGACCACGCGGAAAAATAAAGCAAATGAAAACTGCCTGGACGCTCGACACATCATCGGTGGCAAAAATTCACAGAGCTCAGTGAGCTTTCGCAAGTGCTTATGCCCAATGAAACATCGAAAAAATGATCTGCACTTCCGAGGAGAGAATTACCAAAACCGCCTGGATTATTGCTGTAGTGTTAATATGTGCCACCTCAGTGTTACTGCATGTTGAGCGCCTGCTCTTTTGTCCTGAAATGTTTGTGCCCATCATTCTCGCCTTACGATCGCCCTTACATCTTCAAAAGCTACCCATGTGGTGTTCTCTTGCCTACAGATACTGGTGCTTGAAACGCGCTACATACTGATTCGCAACAAAGTTCCATGCAACTGATCCAACTTCCCACAGTGACTACGACAGGTCGGACAACATATATGTGTCCCTCACGGAAGGGGGAAAATAAGTGCGAAATAATTCACACTGTTTCCCTCCGCTTCAGTGCCATTACCGTCACGTTTAACGTTTAAACTTTATTTACATCAGTGACCACGATTGGCACCTACATATCATCGCTCCTGACATGAACTTAGTGGTGGTAGCGTGAAACAATAATCGCTTCGAAAGCATCAGTGGTGCTGTAAAGTTGCTGCCATCTTAATACCGCTTAGAGTTCCGTTCCCAAAAAGAGGATGGCCCATATTTACTAGCTAGCAAAGGTCGACAAAACTCATCGACCTCGTCCAAACCCTAACCGCAGAACGAATTAGCTAACTGTTTGCGTTGATTTTTGGGCTCACTGCTTTATTAAGTGCAAGAATGTTGTGTAGACAAGTAGCTCGAGTCCCCTCGTCACTATGTAATTCATTACAGCTATCCAATCCGTCCCCCTAGCTGGCAAAAACAACGTACACTGTTCCTCCAAATAAACCCTTGAAATCTGTATTATTAAAAGCCAAACGCAGTCCCGTACAATCCTGTTTTTATTCTCAAAAATGAGATTACAAGCAATAATTCCCCAAGTATTTCTGCCGCCCTCGTTTTCCCTCAAAACGATTTTCTGCTTCATTCTCTCTTTTCCCCTATCCCCTCACTTGCTATCCTGTTACACATTTTTTCTTTAACAAATATCAATTAAATCAGACAATGACAACTCTCCACACCCATCAACCCAATAAAGATAGATGGACAGTCATCGCTGCTCAAAGTTTTCACATTCTTCATCAAGCTCGCCCTACCGAGACGTAAATAAGCAGGCGTAGAATTTTCAGGCATTTCATCCACATCTATAAGACCTTACTTTCACGCTGTTCAGCCATCCCCACACAAGCAGCATGGAGGGTAGTAACGCATTTCTGCATTTTTTAGTCTTCGTTATCAGGAGCAAACAGTGATCAAAGTCGTTTAGACTACAGCTGTGGAACTCAGTGTTTCTGAGATGAAATCGCATGGCAGAGAAGTACTCAGTGCAGAATTTCGTCCCCAATTAAGTGTTAGCAGCCTGTGTCCGCCTCTACCGATCATGCGCACCATCGCTTCACAAGCCATCTTATTAATCAGTTCTCGCCCATGGACAATGCTCAGTGGGACGCGATGCTCATAAAGTAGACATACACTGGGCTGCATCTTCTGGCAAAGTCACAATAAAACGATTACCCCATTCCACCGTTACAGCCAGCGAGAATCATATCTGTCCCTCAGAGGAGCCTGCCTACTTTCGTCTGATGTCCACACGTCACTGCCCCGAACAGGAAGGTACCGGCGTTGGCGACAATATGGAATTTATGCTAAACGACAGCGCTCTAACATGCGCGTGAATCCTGCGGTAAAAGGTGGTGTGAATTCAGCACAAAAACTCTAATATCTCGTCGCTGGTCGTGAAAATGAATGGAAGGAAGGAGGGGAAAATTTCCACAAATATGAGGAATTTAAATCCAGTTGAAAAAGTACAACAACGATACGCAAAAATTGGAAATGAAAGGAATGATGCACCGAAGCATTTCTTTGCTAATAAAAAATCCGGTTCTGCCAATGTCCTGCCGAACTAATTCGTGCTCCCGTCGACCTCAGTCCTTTGAAATGTTTCGCACAAGCAGAGGAAGTTGCATGATTTTTTGCTGACTCCCCTCCTAAACATCACTGACGAGCTTTTCACTCAACCCTCGATTGCGACTTACATAGTATAAATTGAGTATATAAAAAATATCTAAAACGGCCTGGCTATAACGGTTTCCAGTCCAATGCTGCGTGCTCGTAAGAAAGCTGCGCAGGATACAAAAAAAAGCTCAGAATCGCCTTCCCTCTTTAATTTCCGACACTAAAAACACGCAAAGTTTTAAAATGTATGTTGACAATTTTCTGTGCCCAGTACACAGGTGCACTTGACTTCCGCTTCACTACTACCCATCGGCCAATACCATATCTTCCAAGCTTAGCCAGTCAAAACATAGTAAATTTATAACTGCCAGAATTCAGATTCTGCTACTTTGGGCAGTGCTTAGACGGCTGATAACGAGATGCTTGAATGGAAGTTTGTGAAAAAAAAAGAAAATTTACAATCAGCACAGCGCACCAATCATGTGCTTCCGAAGAATATTTGAAACATAGTTCAGGACAGAACAACGGAGTATGCATACGGGCAATATGTTGATGTAATGTTAGCCAAGATCGCATCGACGTAAAAATAAATCACTTAGCCAAATTAGGACTAGAAAGACATGGAAATTAGCTACATTTGGGCATAAATTAGACCTTAAAGCTCCGTAGCTTTTTGGGATTAAATTATTATGGCAAACGAAAAAATACAAATGCAGACATGGATCGTCCATATGACATTTTTGTGCTTTATGCGAGCCGAATATGTATAAGTTTGTACATGGAACAGTATTTTCAAATTTAAAAACATATAAACAAGGCCGTAAATCCAATTCTATTTGCAGAGTGAGGGACGACAGAGCTGTTCCACCTGGCCTTCTGCCCCTCCCCCCTTCCCCCCTTTCCCCTAAAAAGCATTGTCAAACTACGAAAATGCTGCAGATGAATGGTGCTGCATGTAAAAAGAATTAGTGATGGCGTGCTGCGAAAATCTGTAGCATGCACTTCATAAAACTGGCCTATGTTCCTCCAATCTACATTTGCATGGATCAAAAAACACTGTTATCCGTGACTGAAATGGTTTTCTGTACAGCTCAAACGACGGCTGCAGTTTTTCCAAATCAACACTTCACCTACTGAATTGGCTGCCAAAAAAGCTGCACTGACCTTCGAAACACCCGCCGATGCCGCCGGATCTCTGCAAGCTGCTATTTTTTCTTCAACCCTTTTTCGGTGTTTTGGCATTTCGTCAGTTTCATCAATTGTACCATCACGACGTACACGACAACAACGCGCC